ATAGTTTATCCAAACAAGAGATTTGATAAATCCATGACAAAAAGCCTTGATTTTGAAAATCCATAGATCTCCTTGGATTTCAAATATTTAAGGTTCCTAATTTCCTTGTATCCAAACGGGCCCTAAGTTTCAAACTCTCATTTTTATTTCTAACGTTATATAAGCTTTTTATTAAGGGAAAATTTCTCTTTATCTCTTATTTTTACTTCCATATCTCATGAGATTCAAGAATTTAAAATATTATTTATAAGCAAAATGTCTCCATCTTTTCTATCTTACAACCCTCTGGACCCCTTTGATATTAAATTTTTGACTCAAACAATCACTAAAATGACATCCTATTCAAACTCCATTTCTCTCTCTTCGCTTCTCGATGAGTTTACTAGCTGAGGGATTTAGCTTGAGCTCGAACACAAGCAAACCTTCTTATGTGAGAGAGAGAGAGACGGAGTTTTAGAGGGAGTTTTAGAGAGAGAGATGGAGTTTGGGTTTTAGAGAGAGATGAAATTTTAGAGAAAGAGAGATGGAGCTTGAGTTTTAAAGAGAGAGATGGAGTTTTGAGAGAGAGAGACAGATAATGATGTGAGAGAGAGATGGAGTTTGGGTTTTAAAGAGAGATGGAATTTTGAGAGAGAGAGAAGAGTTTGAGAGAGAGATAGAGTCATTTCATAAGTTGTTAAGATCAATAATACATAGTCAAAAGGGTTTAGCGGGTTGGAAGATGGAAAAGATGGAGTCCTTTTGCTTACAAGTAATATTTTCAATTCTTAGGTATGATGAGATATAAAAGTTAAAAATAGGGGATAATAGGATATTTTCCATTTTTATTAAACTCTATGTTTGGAACTCTATGTTCGCAATGATATGTTATGTTAAAAATCAAGGTCTAAAAAAAAGATTGGTGACCCGAACCGATTACTTCAAAAATCATGTCGGATCGGCGATCCGGATAGGAGAATAGGCCGGATCAGCTGGTTTTTGCTTCAAAGCACTTTCAAAAAATACTACATTTTTTTTAAAATAGTGTTCTTTTAGGTTCGAAAAAAGTTTGGGGTTATATTAGGCACTTCATTGAGACGGTGTTTCCCTATCTGAAAGCTTGTATAATAATTAATTATAATATAATATTATCATATTACCTTAAACATGATTTAAAAAATACTAGAAAAACACATTCATATTATAAGATTAAACAAAGAATACTCCTTATAAAGTGAAATTAGTATCACATCAAACATTTGTTAATTCTCTCTACACATCCAAAATTATCACAACCTAACCAAATATAATACTATATACTAAAATTTGAATTATTACTTTATGTTTTATAATTATTTTACTATACAAATAATAATAAATTTAAACTTCCTCTTATCATGTTATCTAATTTTAAAAAAATCTTATGTACAACTATAACAAAAAGTAATACATTATGTAATTTAAATATAAATAAATTAATTAATAAAATATAATATTTGATTGTTAATATATAATTACTAATTATAATATTACATCAAACATGTCAAAAAAAATTAAAACACTTCCATATCATAAGATTAAAAATAAATATAAAACCCCTTATAACTTTGGATATTATGATATTTAAAAAAATCTTAAAAAAACAAATTTTCACTAAAAATGAAAAATAATAACATAAAATTTGTGAAAATTTTAAAATAAAAAAAAAATTGAATCACACATGCATCAATAAACTATATGCATCAAAAGCCCCACATTTATTCAAAAAAGTATTAATCTTTAAAACATGGTTTCTCAAAATCCTCATAACCAGTTGCTTATGGTTTAAAATATGAATTTGTAATCATGTTTTAATAAAAATAAAAAGAAAATAAATAAATTTATACTTGCATGAGTTACTGTTATTTACGTCAAAACTTCTTTTTTTTTTTTTTACAAACTTACTATATATTGTATTATTCTACGTACCCAATTTAATAACCCGTATATTTACGTCAAAATTTATTCTTTTACCAACCCTATTTAGTCACCCGTAGAAGTGGTAAAGACATATTGAATCACCTTAAGACGACCCATTTAGTTACCCCGTTTTAGTGGGAAGGAAGATTTGCCCCATATCAGAACTTTTGAGCATACAAACTCTTCATAAAAGGCCACACTCAATTTCCACATGCAACATTGAGCATGCGAGTAAAAAGGTGGGGGTAACGATGAGTTTCACGTAATGCATTTGTTCCTCTGAAAAACATAAAATGGGGCCACAAACCACATTGAAGTAACAACTTTTTGTGATTTAAGTATGGGTATTGAATTCATGGGTATTGAAGTAACAACTTTTTGAGATTTAAGTGGTATTGAATTCACTTATCAAGTTTCTTCAACTTTTTGATATTTAAGAATGGGTATTGAATTCACTTATCAAGTTTTTTCATTCAAACTCAGTTGGGACAAAGATTTAAGTATGGGTATTGAATTTACTTATCAAACCCAGTTGGGACCAAGATTTAAGTATGGGTATTGAGTTCACTTATCAAGTTTCTTCATTCAAACCAGTTTATAATAGAATCAGTCGGATGGGTGTTGAATTCACTTATCAAGTTTCTTCATTCAAACCAGTTTATAATATAATCAGTCAGAAGAGTATTGAATTTACTTATCAAGTTTCTTCATTCAAACCAGTTTATAATAGAATATGTCGGATGGGTATTGAATTCATTTATCAAGTTTCTTCATTCAAACTAGTTTATAATAGAATAAGTCGAATTACTAGTTCAAAGGGGATTACTGGTTCAAAGGGAATCTTGGTTGGCTCTCGATATACAGTCGGAATTGGATCATCATCAACAATTCCCAAATCCAAATCGAGTGATTTGGATTCGCTGAATTTTCAAACCTTATTAAGAAATTGTCATTCAAAATTATTAAGAAGAAACTGTCATTCAAAACTCAAAACTAACTGCTATAATAAGTGAGCTATGATTCCAAAACATATACCCAAGAGAATAACTGCACGGCCCATAGAATTCATTATTAAAAATAAAATAAAAAATGTAAGAAATGGCTAATAAAGTGAGCTATGATTCCAAAACATATACCCAAGAGAATAACTGCATGACACATAGAATTCATTATTAAAAATTAGAAAAAAAAACGTAAGTAGAACTTAAAGATCTGAACACAAAGTTTAGAAAAACACTTACGTTTGGAATGTTGAGTTGAGAATATAATATTAAAATAAGCCAAAAGATTTTTATGCTCCTATGGGAACATTCGGTTCATTTCCTTCCTCATGTAAAACCCAATCTAGGACTAATTGTAGGATCCTACATTTTGGATGTAATCTTTTCAACCATAGATTAACCTCAAAATAAAAAAATTTCTAATAGCACTTTCTATGGGCTTGAAAAGAATAGTGTCTAAAGATTAAACAGAGACCATCCAACAGTGAGATCTATATGTTAGAAAACTGAGAATTCAAATGATCATCTAGTTTTTTAGGTGGATCCCAAATTTTCGGAGGGCAAAAATCCTTCGAAATACATCATCTGACTAAGGAAGTAGATATATCGTATTGCTCCCATGTGAGCATAGTACACATGCTCTTAAAATAAAAGATGTTCAAAACTTTTTCTAAAACAAATTTTTTTGCTAAATTTTAAGTTTAGAAGTCTAAGTTCCAAAAGTTAGAGTTTTGAACCAGCATCAAAGACATAATGCAAGCAAGTTGGTTCCGAAGTTGGAGTTCTGAACCAAGGACATATAGAATAAAAATAAAAAAGGGAAAAAAAGAGACGAATAAATTTCAATAAATTGAGGATTTTTTATAGGAAAAATATTTTACTGAAAAATAAAATTTTAATCTCTCATCTACTTTTTATATTGTAATGAAAATCTGATGGATTTCAATTAATTATGTTTTAATACAAAAGACTATTTATTTTTAGTACAAGGCGGTCACAATCACTCTTATCTGACAGATTTTAAATCAAGTGATTGTAAGTGTGTTATTGACTAGAAAAAGAACAAATTTTAAGCTTCATGATGCACTCAAAGCTATCCATTTGATACCTAATGGCTAGGACTAATTGTGGCCACTTTGTAATCGTGGTAAATAAGTTGATAATATCCCTTTTATTTTTTGTATTATAATAAAAAAATTGATTCTTTTTTGTCATCATCATCAAAGCTATTTTCAACTATTTAGGGTCACTACACGAATCTTGATTTGACAAGTTGCTTATAGAATGCCGACTACTAACTCCAGTTTAGTAAGAAAGGGAGGCAAAGCTTAGCGAGCTCTATAAGGCAGACCACTACATAAGCCACCGGCCGCAGCAATTGCTTGTAAAGCTTCGTGCTTCCCTTCATTCGTCTCACAGGAGCCGCACAACACATAGCTGGAAGTTAGAGGGCCCTTACTACCTGCCGAAGTCTTCACTCCAAGAAACCGTAGTACGAAAAGCGCCTTTTGAGTAATTCAGCAGAAGGGAAGGGGCCTATGTATTTGAATGACCCCTGCGGATTTGACCCTACACTCGGAACATCGGCCATTATGTTTTACTAAGAGCCATACCCTCAACCCACCTCCCTTAGTTAGACTTGGAATGGATTAAGTAAAAGAAAAATGTCTCATGCGGGTTGGACCACCTGACATATGCGGTCCAAAAAGTGTAAAGCAGTAGGTGTTCCATCTAAAAACAATAGAAACTAACGGTCTAATGTTTTCTTGTTAGAATTATTATTTCTTGTTTTTAAAATTTACTTATTTTTTTAATATTCATTGTCTCCATGCTAGAGGTTAGATGTCCTTAAAAATTAAATAAAAAAATCCATCTCAAAAATGGATATCTTAATAGGTCCGCATTTCTACATATGCGAGCTCGGCCGCATAAAAACCGTGCTCACCCTTCTTGCACCACCTGATTCCTTTCTGTCAATGTGGTTATTCTGCAGGGGTATTTTAAATATTTTGAAGACATTATGAGGGCATTTAAGTTGGAGCCTTCTCTTTTGAAAACAGGCGATTCTCTCCTTGCCATCCTGCGAAAAGGACACTCGCACATTTGCTTTGCTTGGCTGTTGGACTTGCCCTCTCTCTCTCTCTCTTCCGTTTAAAGCGATTTCGTATCGATGCTCTTCTTCCTTTTTGGGTTCTTCTTCTTCTCCTGTTTCTCTCTCTACCTCTGCGCTTCTCTCTCTCTTGCTCTGTTTACTTGGTGCCTGTAACTGCAATGGCGGTGGCGGACATCAGTCACCCTCCTATGGACCAGCTCCACGACCTCGATTACTGCATCGACTCTAACCCCCCATGGCGTATGCTCTCTCTCTCTCTCTTTTGTGGGTTCTCTTTATGTACATGCCTTGAGTGGTATCTCTCTCTCTGTGTGTCTCTGTGTGTGTGTTTGAGAGGTGGGATTTTGTGAAAACCACTTCAAATGAAGGGTAATTCTCTCTCCGTTATTCGCAATGGCTATTTGTGCTCTTTAAGCTATAGAAAAGATGGGTATTCAAGACCTTACTTTAAAGTACTGGAATGACCTGTACTTCTCCTGTTCTCATTTTATTTGTTGGGTTTGTTTTGCTTTCAACTTGTAATTTCTTGACATAGCTTGCTTGCAGTGGAGATGTTAGAGCTCTTGAAAACTTACATTTTTGTTGCCCCTTTTTCTTTCTTGCTACATTTTCTTCTTGCATGACTATGTTAGAATAAATGGGTAGTCTTTCAAAGAACAATGTGCTGTGACTGGAATAGTTTTAGCATGACTTATGACCTTATTCTTCAGTTATATCTTGGAAAAGAGTGAGCTTCTTTCTTTTTCTCTAGGAAGTGGGGATATTTACATAGACCCTTTCGACAATTTGAACACCATAGTGAGTTGGTAATGTGCAGTGAGTAGGGGGCTGAAATTGCTTTGAGAGCATTTCAATTGATTTTTATATATTGGATTGAGTTGAGAAAATCTCAATTGGTGTTAGGTCGACCCAAACAGCTATAGAGCAGTTCAATTTATTGTTCCATTTTTCAGTTAGAGTGACATTCTGGAGGATCTCCAATCCATCGTACATAATTTGCTCCTGCTGCCTTTAACTTTGGCTTCACAAGTTTCTAAGACTGCATTACAAGGAAGTCTGGCTAGCTTTTTTCTTTGCTTTCTGCAGATAAGTCTGAATGCTCACTTTTAATTTTGGGGTGTTCATACATTGCAAGTGAATGCCTTCTTTGAGTGCTCTGTTGTTGGCGTAAGTTTGGATGCTTATGGGTTTGCTGTTTTTGAACAATTCCTCAAATATGTGTACAAGCTGTTATGGAAGCACAATCACTGCCCACCTAATCACATTGTTTGAATCAACAATTAAAAAAAATATAAAAAAGAAAAAAATAAGGATCGCAGAGTTGGTATCATCTATCACCAATAATAGACCATGATTTCACGAGTAATAGAGAGACCCTCATGAAGGACCTTAGCTAAACATCAACATCAGCCATGGCTTGAGAGGCCTTTCTCAGAACAGGAAATCTTTAATGCAGTCAAAGAGTTAGGAAGTGACAAGGCCCCCGGGCCTGATGGCTTCCCGGTCGCCCCCTTTAAGGAGTTTTGGGATGCTGTTCATCTAGACTTTGTTAAGTTTTTTGACGAATTCTATGATAGGGGTATCCTTAACAAAGCTATGAATGCTACTTTCCTTGCCCTCGTCCCAAAAAAAGGAGCTGAGGAAATTAAAGACTTCCGGCCTATTATCCTCCTCAAATCCTCCTATAAGATGCTGGCTAAAGTCCTGGCTTCCAGACTGCAACACGTCCTGCCTTCTATCGTGTTTCCTTCTCAATCTGCCTTCATCAAAGGCAGACAAATCTTAGACGGGGCTTTAGTGGTCCATGAATATGTCCACTCAAGACACCTATCCAAAAGACAAGGACCCATCTTCAAAATTGACTGGGAAAAGGCTTACGACCATGTCGACTGGTTAGTCCTGAATGAGTTTATGGCCAGGATGGGTTTTGGGGAGAGATGGAGGAAGTGGATGAGCGGTTGCTTTTCAAACCCTCATTTCTCCATCCTCATCAACGGAACCCCAGTTGGCTACTTTCCCTCTTCGAGGGGGCCAAGACAAGGAGATCCCCTCTCGTCCTTCCTTTTTGTTATTGCGGCAGAAGTATTCAGTCGATCCATCTCTCGGGTCTATCAAGCTGACCTCCTATTTGGTTTCAAAATTAGTAGGCACGGGCCCATAGTCTCTCACCTTCAATATGCAGATGACACCTTGGTATTCTTGGATGCCACCTGAAAGGAAGTCAAACTCTCAAAAGTTTCCTCCGTTGTTTCCAATCGGATAAATTTTGGATAAATCTAGTATGTTGGGGGTTGCCTTGTCAACTAAAGGTATTAGAACTCTCATCCCAGATTGGGAATGTTAAGTCCAGGACCTCGCTACCACTTATCTTGGGCTTCCCCTGGGAGTTGGCAAGCCTAGAAAGCAGCAATGGTCCCCGGTCCTTGATAAGGTTGACCGCCGCCTGGCAGGATGGAAGGGCAGATTCCTGTCGATGGCAGGCAGAAACACCTTGATTAAAGCAACCATTGCTAATTCCCCAGTCTACTTAATGTTGCTTTTCCATATGTTGGTGCAGGTGGCCAATCAACTAAACCAACTCATGAGGAATTTCCTTTGGTCTGGCCAGGAAGATAAGAAAAGTTTCATCTGGTAGCCTGGGGTAAGGTCTACCAACCTAAAGATAAGGGGGGATTGGGGATTAAGGTCATTCGCAAACACAACGCCGGCCTTCTAGGAAAAGGGTGGTGGCGTTTGGCGACTCATCCTAATGCTCTCTGGGCTTAGGTTGTAAAGCATAAGTACAATATCCCTATACATTCCTGGCTGCCAGGATCCCTGCAAAGGCATAATGGGTCAGGTGTCTGGAAGTCTCTTTTAACAGTGCTGGCCACTTTCAAGAGTTACTCTAGGTTCCATCCGAGAAGGCTCCAGGGAAGAATTTTGGCGGGACCTTTGGTTAGGTCCCTTCCCTCTTTACGACGTATTTCCATCCCTTTTCTCTCTTGCACGAGACCAGGAGCTCTGCTGCTTGGGAGGGCGTAGAGTTTGGAATCCCTCTTTTAGAAGGAACCTTACTGAACATGAAGCTTATGATTTCCAGCGGCTCTCGCATACCCTCCATTCGCTCTTTCTCCTCTCTCATGGAAGAGACGAACTTATTTGGACCTTGTCTCCCTCGAGTAAGTTCTCAGTTGCTTCTTTCTATAAAAGCCTCACTCTCTCACCTACCTCCCTAGAGCCCTTCTCTAAAAATTTGGTCCACTATTGCTCCTCCAAAAGTTCAGATCTTCCATTGGCTTGCTTTTTCACATAGAGTCCTCACAATGGATAATCTACAAAAAAGAGGGCTCCCCATCCCGAATAGATGTGCCTTGTGTGAATGTGAGGAGGAAAGTAACCTGCACCTGTTCCTTCTTTGTGGGTTCTCTTCTGACCTATGGGATAGGGTATTGCAACTTTTTGGTATCCATTGGGTTACACCCCCCTCAGTAAAAGCCCACCTAACCTGCAATTTTGATTCTTGCTGGCCTAAGGCAGGTCGTATCCTGTGGAAGGCTACTGTAGTGGCCACTATTTGGGTTCTGTGGCTGGAAAGAAATTCCAGAATATTCCGAGGCTCTAAACTGCGAACTTTGGCACTCTTGTCCAAGGTGACCACCCTGGTTACCTTCTGGGCTTCTAATCGTAATTTCTTCGCTGGAATTCTGCGGACTTTCTTCCTCACCCATTGGGGAGACATCCTTCATCATCAACCACAAGGGGTTTAGTAGGTCAAGCTTCTGGCTTCCTCCTACCCAAGGAAGCATCAAACTAAACTTTGATGGCTGCTCCTTGGAGAACCCAGGTCCAATAGGGGCAGACCATGAAGGCAATATACTCCTCTCTATCTCTCAATCCCTGGGCTTTAAGGACTTTCCCCATGCCGAAGCACCAGCCCTCCTCATAGCTTTGAAAAAATTCAACCCTTCCTGGGGTTCAACTCTGTTAGTGGAAGACGACTCCAAAAATGTTATCTCTTGGGCTAGCAGAATGTGTGATCCACCTTGGTTTTTGTCCTCAGTTTTTGATGAGATTCAACACATTTACAGGGCTATGGACGTCGCATGGCTGCATACTTGGAGGACGTCCAACGATATCGCGGATCGATTGGCGAAGGAGGCCGCTAGAAGTCGGGGTCAGGGCGCCCATACTGAGTCCACCTTTTTTGATTTGGACCAGTGGACCTTAGCCTAATTTTTGGGTTTCTCTTCTTCCTTTCTACTATGTATTTCTCGTTGTGGTTGGCCAAAAAGTGGATGGGCATGTTTATAAGCCCTTCCCTTGCCACCTTCTTTTTTGAACTTTTTGTAAGGGAGTAATCTTATAACCCATTTTTTGTAAGGAGTCTGCTGACCGGATGTCTTTCAAGAGTCCCTTTTAGAGGGCTCTCACGGAAGTTCTCACTACAGCAATTCAATTGTTAACATTTAAAAAAAAAAAAAATCAGATATGGCATAAAGAAGAATCTAAACCCATTTGTCCTGGAAAGATGTTGTCCTATGTCACAAAGACATGGTTATGAGTGTTAGTTTCTGACATGGTTATGTACTTCAGAATTCCAACTTGAAAATTGGCTATATATACACAAAGTTAAGAAGAAGTTTGTGAATTTCTGAAGTGTCAGACACATGTATTGTGTCCCTAGTATGTTCACACATGCCAAAAACCATGATTCTTGTGTCCAAGTGACATAACCCTAGGATTGCTAAGGATTCTTCCATCAAAGTTGAGTCTGACGATGCCCAAGTAATGGGGTTATCATCTCAGAATTGGGCTCTGATTTGAAGTTGCGAACTGGGCAATTATCTTTCCTCAGCACCACACAAGCAATTATCCTTCCTCATCACTGCTGAAAATACGATGGTGTCTTTGATTTGCTTCTTTAGGAAGAACAAGCTGTTCAGGTCTTCTAAAATATCTCAAAGACCTTCCAGACAACAATCTTTTGAGGCAGGTTTCTGCTCGTGAGAATCAATGAGGAGCACGTCACCAGCTAGTGAGCTAATTATCCCCTGATTTACATGGAACCTAAATGAGTCTGAAATATTTGATATGAAGGACCGAATCTTTGTGGCAACACAGCAAAGGATGAGCAAGTGGCATGTCTATTCCATCTCCTCCCTACACACCACAAACATGTTAGGGATGTACAGTCCTCAGTGTTGTTAGTGGTCAACCTTCAGGATTTTATCTAGATAGGTAAGCTGTCCAGAGGTCAA